CCTTTGCTTGTCTATTCCCTACGCTTCGTGGTACCAATGTCTTCGATCAAACTTCTTAAGTGTGTAATATCATGAATTTACACCAAGAAAACTGTTCCCAGCTGGTTTGCAGGAAAGCCTGAGCACCTCTTTAAAAAAATTCCATGGGGCATGGCTTGTGCATACACTAAACAAACCCTCCGGCTTGAAAACTTCCCCATATGTCTTGTCTCTCTTCAAAAAAGCACATTTTTAAAGCTGTTTCTGTGAGTTAGAGATAGCTGCAGGGGGCAGGCTGCCATCTCAGCCTCTTAACAGCTTCGTGGGATCAGTCCCACGGAGGGCAAGGGGATCAGCGTGGGGGCCAGCACTGATTTATTACGGAGTAATTTGGAGATTATCATCCATTCTAGATGTGAACATCAGCTCCTTAAAGTCCCTTGTGATTGAAAACAATACAAAAAATACAAAAAGGCAAACCTGACCTACCCCAATGGTAGTGATTACATGCATTTCTCATTTTTCTAAATTGTCTATGCCAGCTATAAAAAAACCTCACAATTTTTAATTAGGAATTGTACTATGATAATCTAACTAATTTTTTAGTACTGTGATAGATTTTGTATATGATTTTCTTTATTGTGGTAGTTTTTTTTTTTTTTTTTATCTTGGAAATAGGTATAATTGCCTGAATCTACTTGCTTTTCAGAGAGTGTAGGTACAGTTTGCTGGCAATTATGTGCTATTCAGGACCTGTAGTATCTGAATGTCATTATCTGTATTTGGAGAAGTCATATTATAAATTCAGGAAGAGAAATGTGAAGGTGATCCATAAATGCTGGAAAACTAGTTCCACAGCAATATCTCGTGCCCTGGTGGGCAAGGCTTTGTAACAGTAGGCTTTTATCTCTTTTCAGGCTGAAGTGTAGACATACATTATTTGAATAAAAAGCTTTTCTGGACAGCATGAGAATCACATGTCACAGGGCAAACTAATGTGGATTATTTTGCTGCTAATTGCAAATAAATGTCTTCAATGTATTCCTATATTAACCAAATTAAAGGAAAATATCCCGAGCTAGTATGTAGATTGTTCCAAAGCAATATTAAGTAATTTTGATAGAAAAATATATATTTGGGTGCAATAGCTGAGGGCCAACTTTCAACATTGAGGGTAGAAACTCTACCATAATTAGACTGAATAGGTAAATGCTTTGGGGTTCCTACAATTTGCATTTCCTTCTAGGACAAACAGTAGAATATAAAGGGTCAATGTTCTTGGCTTATCTGTTGTGGTAGTAAATCCATTTATTATGGTGGAGCAGTACTGATTCACAGTAAAATATAAAAGGTCAATGTTAACAGTTCTTCTTGGCTTATCTGTTGTGGTAGTAAATCCATTTATTATGGTGGAGCAGTGCTGATTTACTCCAGTGAAGCAACTAGTTCCTCAAGCTCAAAATATCATTACTTCTAGACACAGTTAACAGAAGCTAATTACAAACATTGAAATACTTTCAAAACAGGATGTAATAATTATGAGCTTGCTTGATTGAAAGAATCTCAGCAACAAAAAAATAACCAATTTGTTATAACACACTTTTTGCAAAAGCCTGCCAAACATAGACATGACCATTCAACAATTAATTGTATCCCTTGATGATTTATTTTATTTTTTAATCCTTCAATTTGCCAAAGCACGGTGAAAATACACAGCAGGAAATCTGCAACGTCGATCTGACTGCCTGAGAATGTTTTCCCACCCCTCTGACTTGTCCCTGCTGGAATAGTCTGCTCCGGACTCGGAGACAACCTGTTCCTTGGGATGTTACCATCGATGGCTTCCATCAGTACCTTCTGTCAGAGGAAGAAAGTGTTTTCTCTAGAGCTATTTTAATATTCATCTTGTCGGCTAGAATCCAGATTCAGATTAATGAATTAGGAAGTCGGCTTAATATGAAATAATTAACGACCCAGCAGCAGGAAAGGAACTAAAAATTGAAAGATCAGCTTGATTTAAATCACAAATTGAAACCAGTGATGTTTGTGTTTTTGACATTTCTGAAGATTGTGTTGAGAGGAAAATCAGATCTGGAACCCATGGAGCCTCTACGAGAATAGGACAGTATGTTAAATATGTTTTAGATTATTCTGTTAAAAAAAAAAAAAAGGCTTTTATTAGTTTCAAGATTATTTTCACAATTAATTTATACTTAGATAATAATTTGGCTTATTCTGCCTGGCAGCCCAGGTTAACCTGGTAGTCCTTTTCTTTTGTCCTTACCCTCCTCCCCCACTGGCTCCCGTTCATCATTCCCTTCTCCTGCCCTGTTTGCTCTCCTGCTCCGTCTGCAGCGTTTGAGACTTTGCTGAGACACAGATGGCAATTAATCTCCTGGAGTTCACCCACAGAGAATCAAGTTTTTATTTTAAAGACAGGCAATCTCCCTTATTTTATTATCCATTCTAATTTATGCCTATATTTTATTATCTATTGTGCCTATATTTTATTATCTATTTTAATTTCATTGGAAAAATCAAAGTTTATGTGAAATTTATTAGATGCTGCAGAATAATTAAACCCAACCCTGTCTCCAAAGCTATATATATATAAAATGTTACTGCTGTGATACGTTCTCTTTAAATACAGCACGCACTAAATGGAGTTATATTGCAATACCATTCTCTTTGACTTTTAAAGAGGTAATTGAGTGATCATTGCACGATTTTAATTTATATTTTTGCTCTTTGCATTCTGCAAGATCCTTCCTCCTTGGAGTGAATCTGTCTGTTTAATCTCTTGTGGTCTGATCAGAAGAGATTTTACTACTTCTCTCTGTAGAAGGTGTGGGAGGGAGAAACTGATTTCTGTATTTGACTATTGTATAGCTATATATATATATATTTTTTTTTTTTTCCTTGTAGAAGGCTTAAGTGAAAGTTATTCTTTTAGTTACACATGAGGCTGAGGAAAAAGCAGAGCTCTTTTAGTAAGCTTTTTGATAGAAGCGGCTCAGCAGGAGGCTCAGCACAGATGGTTTAAAGGGCTGTTGCAAGGGCTGAAATAGTGGCTGGACTTCCCAAAAAGCCTTAATCTCTTTAGGGAAAGGAGAGCTTGTGATTTCTCCGGCACTGAGCACGCTGGGGTCTGTGGGGAGCTGCTGCTGGCAGAGCTCCCAGGCTTTGGCCTCTGGTGGAGGTCACCATTTTATAAGGTATATAATATCAGAATTGGAAGAGATCCCAAAGTTTCTGTTTGCACGTTTCTTGTAAGTTTATGTTCATCAATGATACTGGATAGGCTCATAATTTCCCTGTTAGAATGCTATTACACTGGCTGAATTACTATAAAATTAGAGAAATGGGATTTTTACAGTGTAACCAGCAATTATATATATTAAAATGAGTTTCATCTTTGCATTACCTAATAGTGCCTATAGTGTTAAATTTGTTTCACCTTTGTGAATAGTCATGTATCTATTCCATACAGATACACAGGTCCCTTCCAACCCAAACCATTCTATGATTCTATATCAATTTACTCTAGTTTTCACTCGAGCATGAAAGCAAAAGTGATGTAGAGGAATCTGAGAGGGCTTTGTTATGGAAATCCCAGGGAAAAACATCTCCTGTCTCCTTCCCAGAACCCTTCAGTTACTACCTGCTGAAAAATGCTCTAATAGGTGCTAAGAACATTCATTTGTAATACTTCTCCCAACCCCAAAGAGTTACTCTAGTTTTCACTCGAGCATGAAAGAAAAAGTGAAGTAGAGGAAGCTGAGAGGGCTTTGTTATTGAAATGCCAGGGAAAAACATCTCCTGTCTCCTTCCCAGAACCCTTCAGTTACCACCTGCTGAAAAATGCTCCAATAGATATTTAAATGGGGGTTTGAGATTTGTTATTGTATTGTACACGTAAAACACGCGTTGGTAGTTGTCTTTTAGGTGATGGTGAAAATTGTGATCCTAAAGGAATGTACTGTTAAATATTTCCTTTAATAACATTAAAAGTATTAATCTTTGTGTCTTGAGAAATGTCCAGTTTGGGTAGTGGTTTGGTAGATACTTAAATGGGGGCTTGAGCTTTTTTATCGTATTCTACACGTAAAACACGCATTGGTAGTTGTCTTTTAGGTGACAATGAAAATTGTGACCCTAAAGGAATGTACTGTTAAATATTTCCTTTAATAACATTAAAAGTATTAATCTTTGTGTCTTGAGAAATGTCCAGTTTGGGTAGTGGTTTGGTAGACGTCAAAATTCATCTTGAATTTTCATCATTCAATGGGTCTCTGGTTTATTTTTTGTCTTACTTTGTTATGAACTGTTGCCATCTTGACCTGGACACTGGAACTTACAAACATCTTAAACCTGCTTATTGCCACTTTCTGAAGAATTGTGTAACTCCTCCTGTGTCCTATGGATAAACTGGAACCCTACTGGGGCTAATCTTTTAGAGAGGCCCAAGCAGGAATGGTTTGAAGTTAAGGGATCTCTCTTGATGGATTTATTATTCTGTGTCAGACACTTTGTCCATTGGAGAATAAGTGGAAAAATGATAACAAGGAGAAGACAGCCCAGACTGGTGTTACAGCTTGAGAGCTACCTGTATGTGTAGAAAGGTTTATTGAAATTGTGACAAAACCCCTTTTCTATAACCTAAGTGCTGGACACAACGTGTAATTCAGGGGATGTGTCAGGTTCTTACTTCCTTTTTCTTTTCTTTTTTTTTTTTTTTTTTTGCCACTTTATTTAGAGGAAAAATAAAACTAAAATTATCTGACTTTTAAATTATTCTGACAAACTGTTCTCTTACCTACACAAATCCATTTTTACATTTTATTGAATTAAATGACCCAGTGTTTCTTATATAAATGCTCTTTTATTCCAAAATTCACTCCTCAGCTGACGCCGGTGCAGAAACTTTGAGGCTTAGCGGGTCTGATTATCTCACCCTGAAACTTCAGAGTCAGCTTTAAATATTTATGCAAATAAATAATTTTTTTGCTGTTCCTCTACAGGATTGACATCTTTAAGTATGTGATATATGGTGTAGCAGCTGCTTTCTTTGTATATGGCATTTTGCTGATGGTGGAGGGATTCTTTACAACTGGTGCCATCAAGGATCTCTACGGGGATTTCAAAATCACCACTTGCGGCAGATGTGTCAGTGCCTGGGTAAGTGGTTAAGAAAGCTCTTGTACTTATGATTATTTCAACATGTTTGTATATTCATAGTGCTTTGTGATGGTTTTTTTTTTGTTTCTTTAATATTTTCTGATACTTCAGTTTAGCGGTTAAAAAATTATAGCAATAATTAGGGAACAATTTCTAACACCCTATTAGAGTGTTAGTGTTAGAAATGTTCTCTGTATTGGTTAGTCATGAAGAAACTCTTCCTGCTGAGGAGCAATTAATTCCACCAGTTGTTTGGGAAAGCTTCTTCTCTCAGCAACATAAGCTGTTGGGACAGGACTAAAAGTGTGTCATGCCTTCAGCGGTACTGGACAAGAACTATTTTTCTTACTACTATTTTCACTGTTATTTTAGAAATCTTGCCTGTTCCTCTTGGGATGAGCTGAGACCTGTCATCAGCTTTTGTTTTGATTTTAAAAGGCAAACAGTCTGTTATTTACTCCTACCTTGTCTCTGGTTTGGAGAGACCATTCACTTATGATCCTGAGAAATCTAGATTCAAACCGATTGTGATTTGTACTGGGACTTAAATGGAGGGATATCATACTAAAATTAATGACTGTTTGAACTGGGTTTATTTTAAGATCTCTCTTCAATATCAGGTAAGTAACTTTTTTTGATGTTTGACCGTTCTGTGTCTAAGGTAAGAGGCCTGGACACTTGGTTGCTGTTGGATATTTCTGCCACCACCACCAGTATCAACAAATCGTAATATCTGATGGCAAATAAATGGTTAAATGCAGCCAGGTAGATCTGGATGTTAAGGTACACCTGATGTTATTCTATATTTACAATTACTGATACATAAAATAACAGCCAGAGAGGGTTTCCCATTGTATCCTCCTGCAAATATCAGTATTTATTAAACTACAATACAGACTAGGAATGAATATAGACAATAGAGAATATTTTCCAGTCCCACTCAAGACTGTCAAAACTCGTATTTTGGATATCCTGACATTTAAGGTTAAACTAGACACAGATCATCTACACACTGGAAATTGGGGAATACAGCACGTATGCCATCCCTGCATAGATGTAATGTGCTCCACAGAAATGCTGCTTTTTCATCTTTTTTTCCTTTATTCCTGTCAACTCTGTATTGGTTAGTCATGAAGAAACTCTTCCTGCTGAGGAGCAATTAATTCCACCAGTTGTTTGGGAAAGCTTCTTCTATCAGCAACATAAGCTGTTGGGACAGGACTAAAAGTGTGTCATGCCTTCAGCGGTACTGGACAAGAACTATTTTTCTTACTAATATTTTCACTGTTATTTTAGAAATCTTGCCTGTTCCTCTTGGGACGAGCTGAGACCTGTCATCAGCTTTTATTTTGATTTTAAAAGGCAAACAGTCTGTTATTTACTCCTACCTTGTCTCTGGTTTGGAGAGACCATTCACTTATGACCCTGAGAAATCTAGATTCAAACCGATTGTGATTTGTACTGGGACTTAAATGGAGGGATATCATACTAAAATTAATGACTGTTTGAACTGGGTTTATTTTAAGATCTCTCTTCAATATCAGGTAAGTAACTTTTTTTGATGTTTGACTGTTCTGTGTCTAAGGTAAGAGGCCTGGACACTTGGTTGCTCTTGGATATTTCTACCACCACCACCAGTATCAACAAATCATAATATGCAGCCAGGTAGATCTGGATGTTAAGGTACACCTAATGTTATCATATATTTACAATTACTGATACAGAAAATAACAGCCAGAGAGGGTTTCCCGTTGTACCCTCCTACAAATATCAGTATTTATTAAACTGCAATACAGACTAGAAATGAATATAGACAATAGAGAATATTTTCCAGTCCCACTGAAGACTGTCAAAACTAGTATTTTGGATATCCTGACATTTAAGGTTAAACTAGACACAGATCATCTACACACTGGAAATTGGGGAATACAGCACGTATGCCATCCCTGCATAGATGTAATGTGCTCCACAGAAATGCTGCTTTTTCATCTTTTTTTCCTTTATTCCTGTCAAATGTCACTAGAGGATTATGGCACTTCGACTGAGTATTGTTTTAAAGCTTTTAAATAAATATATAAATAAAGACGGGGAACATTTTAATAAAGAACAATCATTGCTTATACCAACACCGCTTTCATCTGGAGAGAAATCTCTGATCCATATTCACTGCGAACCTACTGAGCTGGTTCAAATTCTGTACAGAGCAGCACATTTTTCAGAAGGTTATTATTTTTTCTTCACAGCTCCCATAAAAGCCTGTCTTTGGTATTGCAGCAGAGCAAAGCTGCATCCTCTTTGATGCCCTTGCAGTACAAACTCCAATTCTATAGTACGTGTCTAGAAGAAATGAACAGTTAAACATCTATTCATTAAATTGATTCCTTCAGCATTTAACTTTCCTCATCAGTAATTTGTAATGTTTGTGTTTTATAAGAAACCTTGGCTTTCATGTTGTGTGGCTAGGGTTAGGGCTGTATACTGTTTATGACCACAATTAAAATAAGCCATCAATTATTTCGAGTTAAAGATACATTGTTATTATTATTCTTGAAGCTAGTGGAAGTTTTTTCTTTCACCTGGAAAGGAAAAATAAATCTGTGATTTGATTGTTTGCCTTATTCTGATGCTATATTAGTAAGCTTGCTATACAAATGTCTGGAGCTGTTTGGAGTTATTATTCTGGATTTTGCTTCTGTGCTTTAGAGGTTTGAGAGCAAGACAGTATATACAGCATTTTTGTCAATTAAAACTTGAGATTTATTTTATCTCATATTTAAAATTCTTAAGTGACAAATAACAGTTTACATTAACAAAAAAACCCCAACAAAACACATTTAGAATTAGGCAATATTTCAGTCCAGCAGTGACATATTTATAAGTTATTCAGTTCCTTTAATCATGCAGTGATATAAAGAAATAAGTTGTGACAGCAACAAAAAGATGACCGGAGAGGTAAATCGAACCTAATCAGTATCCTTGAGTGTCAAGCCCAGATTGTTCTACTCTTATGCAAATTTGCTGTAATAAATTTTGTGCTGTACAGTGGCCAAAATGAGATCATGCCATTGAAGAGGACTGGCAGATACTACATGTTGCAAGAAAGCTTCCTTGTGTACAATTTAGAGATGGAGATTTTGTAAATATCAAAATCTAAGCTGTCAAAGACTAAGCAGTTGGTTTCTTTTAGCAATACCTTAATACTAAGAGAAATGTACACACAGGATATTTGTTGTTCTGAAGAACTAAAATGACAAAATTGGCTCCAAACCAAAAATACCTCTGTAAAAATACAGTTGTGACGATGATTTCAAATGAAATTTGCTGATGTCTTCCTAAAACCAGTTTAGCATGTGGAAGTTTGAAAATGAAGTCCTTCTGCTGTACCGTTGTCACCACTTTCTTCTCATTAATATTTTTCATCAGCATATTTATTATGCCCGTGACTAAACCTATTAGGAAAAGGTAGGAAAAAAATATCAACAAAAAAATTCAAGGAGGAAAATCTTGTTTTAACTTGGCATGGACACGCTGTATTTCTCACTGGAAATCTGCAAAGTAACGCCTTTTTCTTCTTTCTTATCAAAACACCCTTTGAAAAGCAGGCTTTTAAGAAAGAAAGGGAACATCTAGAGAAACTTTGCCTGTGCCCCTCCTGACCCCACTCCTTCACTCTGTCTAACTCACTTTCTAGATCTAGAAAGGAGGACAAGACGGGTTTACATAGTGCTTAGAGACACAGTAATGTGAGGAGTTCTTTTGTATGGTTTTCTTTTGGGGTTTTTTTGTTTGCTTGTTTAATCTCTTTAATCAGAGTTAGGTTGATGGTTGGACTAGATGATCTTGAAGGTCCCTTCCAACCCAGAAGATTCTATGATGAACAGGAGACAGGCCTGAAACTCTGACACTGTTTGTATATTTGCGATTTAATATCCTTCCTATTTACAATCAGAGAGCTTGGTCACAGAAAGCCTCATTTGCACCTTGTTTGAGAATGCCTGCTCACAGAGGCAATAAAAAAATGTAGAAAGAAACACAAATGGGGCTGTTTTTTTTCCTTGAAAAGTTTTACTCTTATGAAAATTTAATGTTATGAAATGGGAAAGCGCTTCTTTTTATTTCATCAGAAAACATTGGCTAAAGATTTCATTCTGGCAGTTGCATTTCTGTTTCTTTCTATCTTAGCTTTTAAAAGAAACATGTTAAGCTTCCAAAGATAGATGTTTTATATTCCAAGTTGCACTGACTAATGTATTTTCTGTATCTTGAGTATTTAGGAAGCTTTTATATTAATGAGTGAAAGGGATTTTTCTGCCTTTGAAAATTATTTTGGCTACCTATGTGCTCTTCGACCCCCACTTCTTGAGCGCTTCAACTAAAACTTGAACCTTCCCAAATATTTTTAGATTTTATTTTGCAAGAAAAAGCACAGAAACTTTGCAGATGTTCTGAAAAACCCTCTGGAAGGGATGTGAACTCGTCACCGCCTCTTGCCCGCACCAGGTGAAACGGCATCATGTTGACCTTTGATGCTCCGTGTAAGGGGAGGAGGAGAGTTGGGTGCTGGCTCAGCTGGCTTTCCCACCCCCAACAGATGCATCCCTTCTGAATGTTAGAAATGAAGCTCTCATTTCTGAACACCAGATACTGTTATCTGAATATTCTGGTGGCAGAATGCTTGGCTGAGAGGGTGAGGGACCTTCCTTCTGATGGGACACTGCTGCCTCTGAGGAACGTAGGATGCTTCATGCCACTGCTGATTCATTTGTGAGAAAGAACCTTCTCTTCGAGACAGCAGGTGTACTCATGGGTCTGGAATCCCTTAATCCCATCTTAAATAAAACGTCTAACAAACCTCCTCTCCCCATAAATGTTAAGTAGTGAATGCCTTCACCAGTTTCAGACACTGGTGTGGGAAATGGGGAAGGAGGGATTCGTATGGTGGTCTGACCTTTCAGACCACATAGTTAAAAAACAGAATCGTCAATTATTGCCACAAATGA